GCCCACTTTACACGATCTATAATTCGCGACAGAATTCAAGATAGAATTCTATTTTATAATTTCATATATTAAATTGACATACATATGTTTGTAGATTAGGTTAGTGTAGGTTATAACATTTACATATGGATGAGGTCCGTTTTCCCTGCCGATTGGACACAAATACTCAGCAATCAATGCTTAAGGTTTTTCATTAGACCAGATACAATTAATCAATCACGCATTTTCATGCACTACACATATTTGATGCATCTTTTCTATTTACAAAATTGGAGCATTAGGGCCATCGCACACAAAATTGCATAGCTGCATGTGCATAGCATGAAAACTGTTTAAACCAACGAACATTGAGCATTGAGTCGCCATACTGATTTACATAAAATGCTTATTGGTCTAGACTGTCTTGCGCTATGCATATGCATCTATGCAATTTTGTGTGCGGTGGCCCTTATAATTATAATTCTGATTGTTCAAATGTTTTCTGTATTACACGATGCATAAAAATTTAAAAATGGAATTCTGTCTCGAATTCTGTTGCGAATTATAGATCGTGTAAAGTGGGCTTTAGAGGTAAAAAAGATCGATTGTATAAAGAGAATAAATAAATGACGTCACAATATAAATAAAATAAATAAATAAAGACTAATTTCGTTGATTTTGAGGGACTGTTGCTAAACTGAAGAATTATCACGATTCGAAATAGGAATAATAAAATTAACGACATAGGCAGATATTCGATGATACTCACTTGTCGAACGGTTTCGTACCCCAATAGTGGGCCGCGGAATTTATTGACCAAGTTATGTTCACCTGGAATATGTATTTCGCAACGACAATATACCACGCGTATATAGGTTTCTCGTCCCAAAAGTAAATGGATACCCACATGGGAAGCACAAAGCAGAAGAGGGGCATCAGAACAGAGTAGTATCTATAACATAAGGTTACAGTCAAGCCGCTGCTGTAAATAGAGAGAAGCCTGATGACCGTTCTACACCTAGGGATGATTCCTACTTGTGGCTCTATTGTGTGTGGGCTCTATACACTGAAAGGTAAAAGTTAGGTTTTCTTACTTCTGAAGCCTATCACACAAGAGGAAAGTACAGGCAATAGGAATAAGGAATAGAAATACGGAATAGAAACCTATGTAATGTGCCAAGACACAATGATACGTTAGCAATTAATAGGAGTGCTGTCCAATCATCTGCATTTTGAAACCACGTGCCTGTCCAAGTCTCAACTGTGATTGGTCAGGTAGGTCAGGCACAGGGAATAGTATGTGACACATGTCAAAATGAAGAGATCAATTTAAAATATAAATTTTTACATCGCTTCGATCATCTAATGATTACAGTTTTGACCTTTTTTCGATATGGATATTTCGTTCATTATAATGATAATTTTCCGATTACTCTACTAAACTTTTAATATAAATTATCGTACTTGCGTTGCCAGGTAACGACAGGATCCTTGTCGAGGTCGCTCATATCGACCGTCGCTCCCTTACTAATAACGTCCGGATGCTTGCGGACCATAAGCCAGCCTACATGCGAGAAAAAGAAACCTCTCTTTGCATTATACGGATCCGCATCCGTGTCCACGAATTTATGGTGTACTCTGTGATCTCTTACCCATTCGTAAATGTGATTCTATAAAACGTACATTAAATGATAATTATATTTACACTTATTTTCAGAAATTTCTCTGTAGAGTTAATGTGTTTATGAACAATAAATCTTTTTTTTAATATTTTTAGAGTAATATGTTTTAAAATACATCTACAATATTACTGTAAATTATGAGATAATAACTATAAATTTGTAACAATATCGGTGATTTTTGTCGACCGTGTCTGGCAATTAAAATTCTTATTGCGAAAAATATTACCCCAGCCGGGGCTGTCCCGGTGGTCGAGCTGGCTAAGACGTCCGTCGTAGGGAGGTCCCAGGTTCGAATCCTGGCTGGGGTAATATTTTTCGCAATAAGAATTTTAATTGCCAGACACGGTCGACAAAAACCGATGTTATTAATTTATAATTACTGCTGGCGACTTTAAGAATATTCTTAATAATTTGTAACAATAATTATTACTTTCCTTAATACATATGAGTAAGTTTGTACAACAGCATTGTCGAGAGACTTACTTGAAAAGCTGTGGTCTCTAAAATCATAAGAATAACTCTCATCGGCAATTTTGCTTTATAACATCGATGAGCCCATAATCTGTGAGCACCTGCTGTGATACCTAGAGCCGCAAAAACAGCGACTGTTAAATCTGAAAGAATGAATAAAATGTATCAACATAACATCATGAGATCTTTCGTAAATGAGACACTTGCAATTATTATTATTTTACAAAGATCTATTGGTTTAAGCTATTGATATCTACTTTTTGTTATTCCTTCCTGCAAATCAATGGTTGCAATTAATGAAACAATGATCGAGTTTTAAGTTAATTAAGTCTTGAAACATATATAAATATTACGCACTCCAAAGAAACGTGTAAAATTTAGCATCTGTGAATGCAATATACAATCCATAAAATCCAGCGATATGAAGATATGTAAGAGATATCACGTTTCTCCACACAATATTCCACTTATACTTAGACTGCGAGTTTTGTGTCTTTTGGGTTAACAGGTTTTCCATCATGGTCTTTTCTGCCATCGATTTCATTTGCAACACGTCCTGCTGAAACGCATTAAAGAACATTAATGTTTCTAAAGTACTGAACAATTTTAAGACCATATTACTGGAATATCTAGAACAAGTATTTACAGTTTTAAAATTAAAAAAGCTGTGATTATATTTCGTAATATGCTATAAAATTGGCTTTTTGGGGGGCTCTGAATGCTGTAACCCCTTAAAGCACATTATACGCGCATTGGCGCTCCTTGGGTAATATCTCTTTTTTAATTTCAGTGATAATTAAGTTTTAATGTGCTATATATATATTTGTTAAGTGACAATTGAAGAAATCAGAAAAGAAGACGAAAAGGTAACTTACGATTTGATCGGCGAGTATTCGTGGGTGGTATCGCGCCTATATCTTCACGAAATGAGCTTAACAAAAAACACGGAGATATGTAATGATGACTTTCACGGATAGTCCGACTCGGTGGCGAATTTACTATGAAATACCAAGATACCGGAGCGCATGGTTTTACATATATACACCAAGAATTACCGATGCTCTTCCACATGAATTTATGCACATTTTGTATGTATGTATGTACATACACATGAAAAATGCCTGCGTTCAACAGAAAAAGCCGCTTTGTAACTGTTGTAAAATTCATAAATTTGATTGGAGTTTGTTTTTAGATTATACTATAATTATATATATAATTAACTTAATATATATATAATTATAAAATATATATAATTATATATATATATATATATAATTAACTTAATATATATACAAGTA